GGGACTGTATGAGGAAGGGATGTGTGTTGATGTGAATGAAGAACAATGAACAGTGGAAGAGCATTTTGAAAACTGATTTTTTAGTAATTGGTGTTTCTGCTTAACTTTTTTTGCTCTTCCCCAGGCCAAATCAGTAATTAATATGTTTCCTGCAAATTTGCCTTGTCTAATTTTGGTCACATCTCTGAATGGTTTGACATCCTGTTGAAGGAAATATAAAGACAGGTAGGAGGAGGAGAAGTCAGCATAACATGGAATGGACATAAGAAACACCCACCTGTCCTGTTATGGTGTTGTTCAACTAGAAATGTTTTATTAAGTATTGGATAAAACCAATGAAATTACCTGCACTTCACAACTTTGTACTAAGTGTTCAAATCAAGACCTTAGGGCTTAACTGACCTTTCCTTTGCAAACCTCCACAGTGGTTTACAGAGCTGCAACTGCAGGATGGTGACTGGCAGCACTGGGGAATGTTCCTGGGCTGTTCCCACAGAACCAGAACTGAAATGAGCTGATGTAAATCCTTGTGCTTCTCAGTAGTTACTCCTCTGTATTAATTTAGGATTTGTGTTGAGGGGTACTTAAACTAAGTAGTCAAAAGGATCTGGATGAATTACGTTCGCTCAATTAAAGGAAACTCATCCCAAATCAATAATATTTCTCTATCATTTGTTGCCACCTGATCCCATAGCCTTCCCCTCGTCTCTTCCTGTGTCTGGCAGAGTTAATTGGGAGTTCTGTTTGTACGAGGATTTTATGTGGTGAATCTGTAAGAAAGAACAATTTTTACTGTGGAATTTTGCTGCAACCTTTTCATCCCTTCTGAGTTTGGCTCTGATTTGTTTTCTGAGTTGGCTGAGAAGGGAACTGAAGCTTCTGATACCAGGATTCCCTTAAAGGTCATACCTTAATGATCACAGTTGTAGTTAGGGAAGTGGTGGAGTCTTGATCAAAGGAAAGTCTGTAGTCCCCACTTTGCAGAGCCATAGCAACAGGGCAATCAAGTCGTTAACGGGATCCTGCCAAATTTCTGCTAATAGATGTGGAGGCTTGGTAAGCAAGAAACTCAGGCCTTGCTGTGAACTGGGATGTTTTGGGTTGTCTGTCACAGAAAAACCACTGACAGCTTTTGGCACCTTGACGTGGTTTTGTAGAAACATCCTGTTGCACGTCAAGGGAGATGTTTCAGCTCAGCTTAATCATCCAGGGTACAGAAAACCTGTATGGTTCATAGCTATTTAAGAGAGAGTATTTTGGAGGTATTTGTCAGTCATCTATTTTCAGGGCCCAGTTATATTTATCAAATAATTCAGTGAAACTCTGTTAACCCAGTAGCTCTGTTACTGATCTGTAGATTTATTCCCACCTCCCCCATAATTTCAACATCCTCTTGCAATTGATTATTACTCACATGAGGCTGGAGTAGTGGTGGGAGAAAGGGTGTTATTTAGAAGCTGGCTCGAGAAGTAAAGTGTATTTTCTATAATTAAAACAAACTGCACAGTGCTGCCAATGGCCCTATTCCAACTGAGGTAGGTAAGGAGATTTAAAGAAAAAAATTTGCCTTGTTAAAATGTTATTCTCAAATCATGGAATTTGAAACAAAACCCATCACATCTTTTTTTTTTAAGGCTCAACTTTCTGTTCTGCATTCCTACCTGTAGACTGAATTAATTTTCCAAGTGTTCAAGGTTTATTTTGAAGACAATCTGCTTCATTTAGAGCAGAAGTGTACAGGTAGTCTGAGCGCTTAGAGCACTTTTCTTGTAAGAGGCTCCTCATGTAGACTGTGTGTAGACTTGAGCTTTGGGGACTCATGGGAGCCATAATCTGTGTTAGGAAAAAAGAGACATTAAAAATAAATACCTTTTCTCTACACATATTTCTTTTAATACATCTCCCTTTATATTTTTAAAAATAGATATATTTTGTAAGTTAGTGCAAGCAAACAGTGATGTGTGCAGTTCCTTAGAACAGAACTCATAATGCCATGACAGTTCAGTGGTCATACATGTGGATGCTGTTGTTCCAGACCCCTGATACTATGTTTGTTGTACTTAAAGAGATTGGTAGTTTAGCAGGATGCATATTCAAGTGTGTTTTGTTGGTGCAGGTTTTGTTTGCTTGTGGTTTTTTAAAGCAATTCTTCCACATTCGCTGACCTGGAACGTATTTTTCCTACTGGGAGTGCCGTAAATCAAAGCCAGATTTATTAAAAAACTACTTCCTTTTTGAAAACCATAGAAGATGGCAGGGAAGATAGCTTAATATTTGAAACAAATCACCAATTTCATGCTTTTTCAAATCGGGTCACTACAGAAGGTTAAGATATATTCAAAGGAAAGGAGGGTTCACTTGTGAGCACAGTAAAGGTAGGTAATGTAATGCCAAACTTAACTGATTTGAGAGCTTTGTGATTATAATTCATGTTGTAAAGATACTGAAGCAACATGTTCCTAGGGAAGCACAAGTAGGAAAGAAGAAACATGACTCTGAAAGGATGAATGCCCTAGAGGAAGTGTTGAAGAATCCAATCTTGAATCGCATGAATTTGCCTTGACAGAGCCCTGGAATAAAAATAAAATAAAAAATTGCTCCTTACACTTATGATGACAGAGCATGGGGTTTCATCTCTCAGAATCTCGGGTGTTTTGCACATTAGCTTCTTGCTTAATTTCTTGTCACAGGTTTCACACAGAAGTGAGACCAATCTGTAGGCAGTTGGGAAGAAACCTTTATTGTTGAACTTTTCTTCTGCAAAGAAAGCACAGACATAAAATCCTTGCTTATGTAGCTTCTTTGTAAGGACTACTCTATTTTCAGCTGTGGGGGTGAGAGGATCCAGAAAGCAGCCAACAATGTTCCCAAGAAATAAAGAATAAGCAAATGAAACCAAAGGCCAATAGTTGATTTCCCCTTCTTCCCCACCCTGTCAAAGAACTGCTTAAATTTAATCCAAGGGGCATATACTGCCTATAAATTAAAACAATGCTTCCTGTAACAGAGGGGAAAACATTGTGCTGTACAGAAGAAAATTTAGAAAGTATGCCAGAGAATTATTTTGCAAACTCTTCCTGTCATTCAGTGGACACATTGAACAAGCAGGGTCTGTGCTGCCTGAACAGGGAAGTTGTAAAGCAAGAAGGAGGAATCCCAGGTAATAGAATAGAAAATGTCAGAGCCAAACCTTTGCTGTGTCTCTAGCTTTGGTCCTTTAGTTTGGAGCTATGGCTCTGTGATGGGCAGTGCCTTAGCTTGTCTAACAAAATAGACAAGTTATTTATTTGTTTGTTTGTTTGTTTGACTGAGCAGGAATTGGTGTTCATAAGTTGTTTGCTCTGAAATCTGATTGCTGGCTTTTTTTGTTTCATATAAAATGGGCACACACTTGGCTATTACCTTGGTGTTTCTATATTGACTAATGATACAGATTTTAAAATCTAAACAATAGGCATAATACAGGCAATGGTAATGCAAGCCCTGACAAAATTATGTTATTCCTGAATAATTTTAATTCATTTCTTCAAACTGTATTAATAGTGAACATAACATTTGGCAGATTCAGCACGTTAATACTTCCAATTCCTTGATGACAAAAAGATGCCTCATTCTGAACAGCTTATAATTACTCTTCCTGCAGTTAAAACTCTGCTCATCTCTAATGGTGTGGAAGTAGCTGGGGTTTTTCACTGTGGTTTGCAACTTTCACCCTTATTGGCTGACTGTTAAATGGTGAAAACAGCCAAGAAAAGCCTGTAACATACTGATTTAGGCAGCTGCCTTAGGTTCTTCTTCATACTAGTTTATGAAGGTGAAGTATGAGAATGAGCTGAGCCTGAGGTTTAGTGAGGCTTGGTAAAAGCTAGCTAGCTTTTGTGAAGATGTGTCAAAGTGTAAGTTCTTTGCTGAAGGTTTCATTGGGGTTTTTTTTATAACTGTGGGTAAGGCCAGTTTGACGACAGCTGGTAGCACAGATGTGTGATGCAGCCCTTGTGAATGGGGTGGAAGCCAGGAACTAGCCAAGCAAGAAAAAGGAATGGAGCTTGAGTCTAGAACAGTCTCAGCCTCATGTTTTATTCCCTTCATGCTTCATAGCAGCTGTGCCATGCTGATGGTGAAACAGCCAAGGAGCATTTTTGGTGGCCACGAGGATTTTAGGTGGATTTAAATGTGTTATCAGTCACTCCACCCTGGTTTTCCTGAGTGGTTTAATGCAGTGGTGGGAAATGGTAATGAAAATGTTTGGAGCCATATTTACAGGTAGGGCCTATCAACTGGTGCACATAAAGAACCAGCAAGCATTAAAGGGAGTAGAGGCTCCTGGTGGTCTGCTGGGGGAGTCCATGGCTTGGTGAAACCTTCCCCTGTAGTCCCCTCTCTGCTTCATGTCCCCCACTTGAGGTGGAGAAACCTTGGCTTGGCGTGGCTTTGAAAGCTGAAACTTCTTCCAGTGTGCTGAATGAAAGATGTTAATTATGGAGCAGCACACAAAACAGTGATGTGGGATTTTAAAAGCTAACATTAATAAATGCGTATTGACGCTTTCACTAAATTGAGTAAACATGACTTTTTCATAATGAACTCTCAGTACAAACCTAATACAGAAGAAGGAAGTGTTCAGAAAAACAGCTTGCTGGGGTGGAGACTAAAAGATGTGCATGCTTTGGGTATGGTGGGTGCTGTGGCTGTTTTTCCAAGTCTCATTTCCACATTGTTAAGGATGGGGGGAGGAGGCATCAAAAACTTCTAAGGAATGGAGGTAGAGAGAAATTCTTGGCAGAGTGGGAATATGTAGCAATGCCTTGGGGGCTGCTGAATGGTTCCACAGTCATGGTGGGTCTGGAAGAGGCACAGTTACAGTTTCTCTTCAGGGCTTTTCTGCTGGCCCTCAGTGCCTCCCCATCTCCTACAACAAATTGCTGCTTTCCAAGAACTGGTACGAGCACCAGTGGCTGCACCACGACATGTGAACTGAATACATACGCTTCCTCTCACAGGTGGATTTGCCGAGTTCTCCAGCTCTTTTCCTGGTCTCTGTGAAGGAAAATCCACGCTCATCCCTACTTGCATTTCTCAGCCTTGCCTACCTGTTTCCAACATTGGCCCGACTAGAATACTGCCTCATCTCTATCTTGGGTGCCAGCGAGATGTCCTCAACAAGGTGAGTTATTCTGGGTGCCATGGGGTTTACCTGGATGAGTACATGAGCTCCATGTATCTTTATCCATGCTTCTGTCATAGCTGTGAAACAGCTGAAGTAGGTGCAGATAAGAGCTGCCTGCATAAGCCATGGAAAGCTGTGTGAGAACTGATGATCCACCGGGCCATGTAATTCATCTACGTGCCATGTAATATAAAACCTGCTCTTCTTCTTCCTCCTTTGTCTCAGAGAAGATGATGTGGTGCTTTCCTCAGTAACCCATCAACCAACAGCAAACTATCATATCTGCCATTACAGCAGATGTACTTTCCTGTCTACAGCTCTGACTGGTTTGTTTTGGCAGGTCTCAGATGTTAACAGTTACATTTAATGGTAGGACAAAGGAAGGTTGTCTGTTTTTTAGCATTTCCTTCAAGTGCTAGAAAAAATAGCCTTTAAATACCATGAATTGTGTAATAAGGGACTACTGCAAACAAATCTTTGTACATTGACTGAAATGTTCAGACCTGGACAATCAGTGGGGTTGTTTAAAATGAGCTTTTATGGTAGCACTGCAGTAAGAAACTTCTCCTGTTTCTAAGTACCTGTACATTTAGTAATTTCTGCTCCTGAAGAATAGCCCAGAATATTTTTGTGTATTTAAAATGGTCAGCAAAGTCATCAAATATATCACTTGTAGGATGCTGGACTATCAGATGTTTAAAAGAGCTTGTCTCAAATTGCTGTAGGTCTATGTTCCACAGATATTTGCTTCCATGAGGAGATCAACTCATGTTGCTTCCAGTCTGAATCTTGGGTCCCTTCACAAAAGAATTTTTATGACTTCTGCTGCATGTGCCCTCTTGCCTCCCATATTATCTGACAGTCCTGTTCAATCTCCAACAGCCTTCATAAGCTGGCATTAAATCCATGGATAGGGGAGAGGGAAGGGGTGCTTCCCCCTGCCACATTGCCTTAATTATGTGCCAGGCTTTTGTGTATGGTTTGGTATCCGTGTACAAAGCTTAAGCCAGGAACTGTCCTACACAGTCCTGTAACTGGATCACATTCATGTACTTTGACCATTGTATTTTTCACTGTTTTCTTCTACTTTCATTCCATTCCAATCTGGCCATTGATAGGCTATTTTTAGTTATTTTAAGGGCATTTTTGAAACCAAGTAATCATGTAGAAGGTAATTCTGCTTTAATAGTGAGGACAGAAATGGAGGATGGTCAGAAGTCATTGCATCTGCTTTGTCCTTTAAAATCTTCCTTGTCTTTACTGCCAGGTAGGGAGTCAGCAATTCAAACTTGATTCACTTATGATGGATGTCAAAGCAGCTTATTGCTATTCCTGCCACAAAAGTAATTTGTGGTCTCCAGACAAAAGACAGCAGGAACTAAGTAATTAAAAGAAAAAAAAAATTCTTTGCTTTCAATTGTAGGGTATTAGAAAGATGCTTTTATGCTTCCTCTTCCTATTCCAGTTGTTCCTTCCTCACCTTCAAGCAGTGACAACAGGGAGTGAGCTGGTTTGGAGCCAGTATTTCAACTTAGTGATCTGAAACAAATAATCATTTCACAGAGGTTGATGCTGAAGAGCTTGGGATGCTGGAAGGGGAAGAAGGGGAAAGATGCTTTTATGCCTTATTCTAAGGCAGGGTGGGGAGGGAGGGAACAACTTGTTCTCTTCCGGGGCCAGGGATGTGTTACTTTGTTTGGGATGTGACTGGAACTCTAGTGGTGTGACCCCTAAGTGGTGCATAATCCCAGGGGGTTGAAAGAGGCTGTTCCTTTTTCTTGCAGCAAATTGGTGCCTACGAATAAGTGTTGGGCACAGGCATGGTATGTGTGCCTCTCTAGGAATGGAATCCAGGTGGTAGCAGTGGTCAGAACTTTCATTATAGGGCTGGAGGAGGCTAAAAACCTCAACTACTGCTGGTGAGCCCTGAGTGTGGCAGAGCTGGCTGCAGCTCAGCCCTGGGGGTGGCTCTCTTCTCCCTTAATCTACAGTCTTGATAATTGCCGTGTGTGTTGAAGGAAGTCCTGCAGCTGCAGGTACTTTAGAATTAATGTAAGAGCCCCAGGAGTTGGTTGGATTGGTACTTCTTCACATACTCTTGGGAATGAAAATCAAAGATTACTGTGTTTCCCATTTGGTGTGGAGAATGACAAAAATGACAGCATACCACCTACAGAAAGTTCAGGAAGTTCTTACTGCCTGGTGTCATCCTTGACAGCCCATCTTTTGGAAGTTCTTCCATTGGCAACTAAAACACCTCTTAGATTTCTTATTCATTTTTAGGGCAAATACACATCTTACGATTTCAGATCTATTTATTTTTTGTATCTTTTTCCTCTTACTTTGAACAAACACGGGAGATGCTTTGTTCTGGGCAGGTCACTTGTTCACTGCACTGAAGAAGATTTTAGTGTTGGTGGTTTATCCCACCTCTTCAGTGTACATGGTTGCCTCTGGAAAATGCAAAATAGCTTCCATCTTTAATATTGGAAAATATTAATCAGCTGTGGAAACAAATTACAATTTCTACCTCACAGAGTCCACGTGATGTTTTCCCAAATGTCGGCAACTCCCAGTTTCCCGGATTTAATCAGTTTCTTGATTTAACTGGAAGTGGTAGCGAGACATTGGCACGTTAGGAACACAAATAATGGATCTCTGCTGCTCTTCCTTCAACGTGCTTTGCTTCTGGGGAAGCCTGTATCCTATACAAGGATATTGGGCAGAGCAAGAAGGATGACTCGTGCTATATTGGTTGCCCAGAAATACCTGGTAAGAAAGCTGGGGAGTAAAGAACATTCAAAAGTGGAGGGCCAGAAACAAAAAAATAGGGGTAATTAGCAAAGTTCTGTCTTTGTTAAGACAGTCAAGGAGCTGGGAAGTGGTTAAGTTTGCATGCCCTGGTTTAATGGCCTTGCAGGAGGTACCTGGGACAAGAAGCCAACTTTCTGTTAAGATTAAAATAGCTGTTTTCTACTCAGGTCCAGATTTAAAAAAAAAAAAAAAACAAAACAAATTGCTGAAAAATTCTAGTAAGATTTCCAAAACTATTAAGATGTAGTTGTACACACTGACCTCATTTTTGCCTTGAAATGCTGTCTCTGAGTTCTCATGATTCCTTCTGTTCACCAGACGTACTGATTTTTCTAAAATTAAATTGTCTCAAAAATATCTGCAAAAAGAACTCTTAATCTGCATTAGTAATTTGACCTGATGATTTAAAGATTTTGATATTTTATCAAGATGAGCCTCCCTTTTTAGGAGCTTTATAAGCTTATCTCTGAGTGAATGGCTAGAAGGACTGTCTGTATTCATGATCTTTTAAAATACTAAAGCTACTTGCCATTAATACCTCTGCTAATAATGCTTTATTTAGGAAAGACATGCAAACAGAAATGCTTTCTTTGTGTCCTTCAGCAGAACTAATGATTAATTCAGGAAAGTCTTAGGATAATTTTTATATTTTTTACAGATTTCTTTCTAAATTTGTAAGTCTGAAAATGTACATAATATTTTTTGCGGTGTTGCAATACTAAAAACCTCATAAAAGTTCTAAGAGAAAAGTTTGTTTCAGTTTTGGGTCTCAGTGTGATACATTGTGGTTATCTCTGTGGCATTGCAAGAGGGTAGTGATATTCATTGCTCTTTGTGAAAGAGAGGGAGACTAAATTCTAACCTAGACAGCAGTGATAGTGTCCTTTCTGAAAGTTAGTATAACAGAAAAAAAAAATCTGTATTGGGGTTATGGGCCAGAACAAGCCTCCTACTTACACCTCAAGGTTTTTACCAGCATTTAAACTGTAAAACTTTCTGCTTTCCTGCTTACATAACTATTCTCTTTCTTTTCTTCCAGACCTGGATTTTATTTCCTGGAACAAAATAACATTTTAGGGTGCTATTAATTTTCAGATTAAACAAGTCATAAAATGTAAATAAGCTTACAAAAGAGCATTTACCTTCTTTTCACAAAGTTGTTAGTATTAGGATTTCTGGATCTTCCTCCCATCATAATTCACTTCTTCCTCTTGGGTGCCTTACAATGAAGGCACTGTTATGGTTATTATACTGGAGCAGGTTGCACAGGGAATGATTGATACTTTAGAATAGAAGGAAGCATAACTTCTTTCTTTAGCCTTAGTCCAAAAGACAAGCATTAATATTTTGGGCTGTCTTTTTGGCTTGTAGATCTCAGACTTGGCATCTGCAGCCTTTTTGTTCCCATTTGAATAATCAATTCCACCTCAAAAACCTTGCATAACTGTGGAATTGTGATGGCTGGACTGTGCAGCTCACCAGCATTTATGTTTTAAAAGAAATAATACATTTTCCATTCTTCTAAATTCATTATTTCCTGCCTCCCCCCCGTTAGCTGTATTCTGAACAAAAATGCATCATTGCAGCCCATTTGTTCATCACCTCCCTTCCTTACACATGAGAATGTTCATGACCCTCCATGTACTTTTGTACTGGCTATTCCAGTTGTTCCTTCCTCACCTTCAAGCAGTGACAACAGGGAGTGAGCTGGTTTGGAGCCAGTATTTCAACTTAAGTGATCTGAAACAAATAATCATTTCACAGAGGTTGATGCTGAAGAGCTTGGGATGCTGGAAGGGGAAAGCTGTGTAGCCCAGGGATGGTGGGCATCGGGGGTATCCCTTGCTCCAGTAAGATACCAGGAGTCAAGCTAGTCCCCTGCACCAAGAAACCCATTCCCAGTACCTTTCCTCTCTGGATAATTCCAAATATTCCGCTATTCCCTTATAGGACTCCTCCTTTTAAACATGTCACTGTGTAAGGAAGGTGCAACAGCCTCAGCTATGAAAGGCAGGCAGGGCTGAAGGGAGCTTGCTGGTTCAGCCAGGGAGATGTGCAGGAAGGGAGAGGGGGAAATCAGTGACATACTGGAATTTTCACATTCCCTTAGAAAAAAGAAAGCCCCTGAGACCTGAGAGGAGACTGCAAAAGGCATCCATTTCGTTTCATATTTCTCACCAATATCTGTGACAGGGCAACCTCAGATATGTGATCTGGAAAACACATATTCAGGTCAGCACGTGGGAAGCGTTTGTTGTCAGCTTGCACAGTGAGAATTTAAACCAAAACAACAAAAAATTCATTCTCTTGGAAGTGATGCTTCCAAGTAGCAGAAGGTATTCTACTATTATTTCTGTTCTTTGTTTTTATGGGATTTGCAGCCCAAATGTTACTTGCACGCACTGGATGTCTCATTAAAAGTCGTTAAATGAATTAAAAGCTGAGGAGTTATCTTTTCCTCAAAAGAATGTCCCTTATACAGCTAAAGGAATTCCAACACAAATTTCAGTTTGGTTTTTCAGCTTTGTAATGTGCCAAAGGTACCTTTTGACTCCTCTAGGCTTAATCATTCTCTCCCTCCTAGGAGCTGATGCAGCAGAACGATATTGGCTACGTACTGAATGCCAGCAATACTTGTCCCAAGCCTGATTTTATTCCAGAATCCCATTTCCTCAGAGTGCCTGTGAACGACAGCTTTTGTGAGAAAATTTTGCCTTGGTTGGATAAATCAATCGATTTTATAGGTGAGAAGAAAATTTAAATTCTCTCTCTCTCTCTCTCTCTCAAACAGTTTTTTGATTCCTCTGCGTGTCTGCCTTGCTGTTATGGTTGGAGAAGCCCTGAATGCTTTCTGGGTGGTATGAAAATACCCTCAGGGTCTGTGTACATGATCAGCATCGCTTTTATATAAGCACAGAGGCAAAATAACACAGCAAAGTAACGTTCTGCCACTGCGTGTTCCAGCATGACAGAACAAAAACACTTAAGAGCACAACTCTGCTCTCAGGCAGCCTGGTGGAATCCTGATGGTAGAATCACTCTGCAGAGAGTGAATGAGAAATTTGGACATAACAGCTTCTGTCCTGACCTGTGAGAAGTGAGCTAGGCGAATTTGAACTGGCCAAATTGTTCCATCGTGAATGCTTGCTTGTTACTTGTATGTAAAATTAGAAACAATTACCTTTCCCAGACATCTAAATAGGGTGGTTTATGTGCACATTAAATTGAGGTATAACCATGGTATGTTTCCTGTGTGTGTTATGCTTTTTCTATACTTAGTGCTGTACAGTGCTGGAGAAAAGAAGTGATTTTTTTTTTGTTAAAAGCTTCCATGAGATTTGTAATTAGCAGTTAATTTGGAAGTTTTGTATAATTTTCAATAACATTGCTTTCTTTGCAAACTTTTCATCATGGTAAAATGCTGCTGACTTTGACTCTTGCCAATGTCTTTGCTACGTAGAAAAAGCAAAAGCATCAAATGGCCGTGTGTTAGTGCACTGTTTAGCTGGGATATCTCGCTCTGCCACAATTGCTATTGCCTATATCATGAAGAGAATGGATATGTCCTTAGATGAAGCTTACAGGTAAGAAGAAATTTCCTTTTCATACTAATTCTTGTTGGCTTATTTTACAGTGAATGATAAAATGTTACAGGACCAAGGGTAGAAGCAGACATTTTACCTGGTAGTTCACTGTCCTCTGCACACTCCTGTTTGAAGCATAGACTTCCTCCAGAAAAAAATTAATGGTGTTGAATAGGCATCACACAGCTCATATTAACTGCCTACCTCCAAAATGGACTTTGCTCCAAGTAGGCAAATACATGGAATGTAAACTGCTTATTAAATGTATGTATATTGTCCTGGTTCTGGCCAGGAAAGGGTGGGAGCTTGTGCAAGCTGATATTCCAGGTTATCATGTCAGCTGGACTATTCCTTAGCATTGTTCCCTCTTTCACAAATTAAAAAAAAAAAACTAATAAAAATGCAAGTTTTGTTCGATATTTTTCATGTGCTTGCCTGCATTTGTGCTGGTATACACACATATACACAAGTACACCTTTCCATTTTTCTCACACTGGTTTTAATGACTGCACACTCATCTTCTGTACACTTCCCCAGAGAGATTATATTTTTAATAATATTTAATTTTCCCAGTGACATATAACATGTGTGTTTGTACTACATTTAGCTCCTCAGGGTTTCTTCCCTTGTTCATTCTTTTGTCCAGGAATGTTTCTTTAAAAAAAAAACCCAAAACCAGAGGAGGAGGGATTTGGGCAGCTTTGTGCTTTGCAGCCTGTAAAAGCAGAGTACTTATTTAGCTATGTTGCAAATCAGACAGGTAGGAAGTATTTAACTTTGAAGTATATGACATGATTTCTATTACTTAGGTCTTTCATACATTTAGAATTCTGGTTCAGCAAAACATTTTCAGTCTCATTGCACCTTCTCCATATTCAGCCCAGTCCGTGACTCCGGGCTTGGATTGGCACACCTGTGCCAGTCAGGCTGCTTCCTACAGGACCCAAAAACAGGTGAATTTTTCTAGGGATTTGGCAATCCTGTTGCCCTTCACTGCTGAACACCTACAGGACTTGAGAGAATGTTCTTTGTTTTAATGCTGCATTTGCACCTTTCTGTTTTTCTTTTGGATTATCATATCAGTGGTCAACACCAGCGTGGGGTAGGAATTGCTGGAACTTGCTGGATAAGGTCAGAATCTGTCATGGCTCTTTGTCTTGCCTGACTGTGATAAAGAGGGTAGGAAGTGCCCACTGCAGTAACAACAGCATGGGAGAGGTGAAAGGAATATGTGATGTCATCCCTCGGAATGATGGGGAAGGTGTCCACTCTCTGTAGCACATGGGAGACGGTCTCTTGGCTAAAGCTCAAATGTTGTTCGTGCAAAACTTGAGGAGCTCTTAACTCCAGTCAGAAACCAAGGTAGCAAAGATCCCACTGATGAAGTAAATAAGGAAAATGATGCACTCAAATCACTTGTGGACATCATGAGGCGTTGAAAAAATGCTTTTTTCCCCGCCCACTTTTTAGCCACCTTTAAGTAAGCTATAGAGACAATTGACAGCATCCAGCATTACTTTGCTTAAAACTTTAACTCCATCCTCAAGTTACTTGTGCTTGACTTAACCCTAGTCCAAGGTAAGTTAAGAATAGGCTGTAGACATTCACAACATTCACTTGAGGGTTATCTCAGGTCTGAGCAGCAGGTTCTTTAAGTAATTCTTGGTTTGTTTGTCCCTTCTTACCAGATTTGTGAAAGAAAAGAGGCCGACTATTTCTCCCAACTTCAATTTCCTGGGCCAGCTCTTGGACTTTGAGAAAAAGATAAAAACCCAGACCGGTCAGCCTGGACATATCAGCAAGTTGAAACTTCTGCACTTGGAAAAAAGCAGCGAGCACGTGCAGGTCCCGGAGGGTGGGCAGAGCAGCCTCTCCGTGAAGCAGCTCTGCATCACTGCTACCTCTGAGATCGTGGAGCAGAAACCCACGGACTGTGGCAGTGCCCCACGCGGGCACTTGTCCCCTCTGGAAGATGGCCCGCTGGTGCAGGGCATAAACGGACTGCACGTCTCCCTGGATAAGGTGGAAGACAGCAACCGGCTGAAGCGCTCTTTTTCTTTGGATATCAAATCTGTGTCCTACTCATCAAGTAGCAACTGTGTGACTGCGTCGGTTCAGGGCTTCGCCTCCTCTGAGGACACCCTGGAATACTACAAACACGCGACTGCTTTGGAGGGCGGCAGCAAGTTGTGTCAGTTCTCCCCTGTGCAGGAGGTGTCGGAGCAGACCCCAGAAACCAGCCCCGACAAAGAGGAAGCAAACCCTCCCAGAAAATCCCAGAACACGTGGCAGCTGGACAGCCAGGGCAAACGGCAACACCTGGGGAGAGCCAGCGGCGGTGCCACCACTCAGCGGTCGCTCCTGTACCCCCTCCACCGGAGCGGCAGCATGGAAGACAACTACCGAACGAACTTCTTGTTTGGTCTCTCCACCAGCCAGCAGCACCTGGCAAAGTCTGCTGCCGGGCTGGGCCTCAAGGGCTGGCACTCGGACATCTTGGCTCCTCAGGCGTCGGCCGCATCCCTGACCAACAGCTGGTACTTCGCAGCCGAGTCCTCGCATTTCTACTCCGCCTCGGCCATCTACGGGAACAGCGCCGCCTACTCCGCCTACAGCTGCAGCCAGCTGCCCACGGGCTGCGACCCGGCCTGCGCCGTGCGCAGGAGGGCAAAGCAGGGGGACAGGGGGGACTCCAGGAGGAGCTGGCACGAGGAGAGCTCTTTCGAAAAGCAGTTCAAGCGCAGGAGCTGCCAGATGGAATTTGGGGAGAGCATCATGTCGGACAATAGGTCCAGAGAAGAACTGGGGAAAGTAGGCAGTCAGTCGAGTTTTTCGGGCAGCATGGAGATCATTGAAGTGTCCTGAGGGGCGGCAGGCCTGTGGGACTGTATCAGAGTTGCTGCCCTCTCCGGGCTGCTCCCCCGGCATTTGAGAGATCCCTGTAAATCTGAAACTGTGGGTAAAAGGGTGGGGGGAGGGAAGAACCTTGAGGCTTCAGTGTGAATGCAGCAAAAGGTTTGTACCGCAGAGAAATGACAAGCGAGCATCTGCCCGAGGACACCAGAGGTACCGCTGGGTTTTTCTCCTCTCCCCTCCTGAAGAAGGGCAGAACACTTCAAAGGTCTTTCCCTGATAGAGGAAGCAATTGTTTGCAATGGATTGCACAGCGTTTCAGTGGTTTTTATAAAGGAAGCTCTCTTGGCATCAACCTTGCTCTGGTTCCACTGAAACACGTTCCTACCTGTCAAAACCCAGTTTTGTTCTCCCCTCCTCATGCCCCATATGTTCACCAGTGCACCTTAGCCCTGACACTGAGCCAACCTCTGGAGGGAGACCTTTTTCCTGTAAGAAAGGAGACTGGGAGCAATTCCAAAGGACATAGGGACTGGTTACAGCAAGGCTTGTCTGAACACACAGTTCAGACAAATGTAAATACTGGTGTAACTATTGTTCTAATGGATAGGCTTTAAGTGATTTGCTAGAGAGCTGCTTCAGAGAAAAAAAAACAGTACCTCAAAAATATAAAAAATAAACTAGGGCTTTATGGCTGCCACATGCTGGTAGTCAGTTCATCAGCAATGTGAACAAGTAACAACTAGCCACATTTGGTTTTTTGTTGTTTTTTTTTTTTTAAAGCTGTCTACGCACAAGTGTTTCAATTGGCTCAGCAGCAATGCCTAAAAGAAGATGAATGAACCATACTTAGGACTGTTTCCCCCAGTCTTTTGATACAGTATTCGTATTTTTTATATTAAGCTGGCTTCTGGGAGAGGGGTAGTTGCTTTGGCTTCTAAGGTGTAATGGAGTGGTTGATAAGGTAGGGTTACATGCAAGAGAAGTGGCTGCTACAAGTGGCCACAACATGCTTTTTCTTGCCAGTTAATAATTCAATAGGAGGCTCTTGAAGGCTTTTTTGGTTTGGGGTTTTTTGTTTTGGTGGTGCTTTGTTTGTTTGGGGTGTTTTTTTGTGGTTTTTAAGATTAAAATGGGGTAGGCTTTTATCCTTAACTGAGCAGTACCACTGAGGAACTGCTCTTCATATATGGTCCCAGTCCTACCTGGGGTGGGGGCAATGCAGGTGGTTGGGTTTTATTCCATTCCAGCATGGATTGAGACTGGCTTCTCATTAGTTTTGCTGACTTCATCAGATAAAGGGAAGTCTGGCTGGCTGCCCAAGGAGAACAGAAGGGGGCTCCAGTGTCCCATCTCAGTGTGTGTGTGAAAGAAAGGGGGTTTGAGAAAAGACAGCTTTCCATTAGGGGAAGCCACTCCCCTCCCACACTCACAGCTTCACAGGAACTTGATCCTGGCCATTGTTCTCTGTCCCTTGGTTTCCCAGCACGCTGATGTGTGATTTGTCTGCAGACGCTCAAGGCTGTACCGCGTCCTCCCTCATCACCCCAGAGAAGATGCCAACGTGAGGAGGTGTCACATCGCTGCTGCCAGGGGGGGTGTTTCACTGAAGATTAGGCACAGCCCTTCTCATGTTGTTTTTGACAGCAACCCAGCTGCTTCCCCTCCAGCTCCCGTTCCTGCGGTAGCTTGGCTGAGCTCTGCCCTGCTCACCTTGGTTCACCCGCCCACGTTGCTGCAAGAGATTTGTGGTCAGTGGGGGGTGGTACCAGGTAAAGCTTCACCCTTCATGCTCTGAGGGAAGCTGCACATTGGTCTTACCTCGGTATTTCCCAGCACCCCTCAGAAAATGTGTATTGAGGGGAAACTATATTTTTTTTTTGTCCCATTTCAGTGCAGGCAGCTGAAAATTGTACATCACATGTAGCAAACAGTTAAACCCTGGCCAACAGCTTTAAAAAAAAAAATTGTCAGCAACAACCTGAAGCCCTAATTCAAGTGAGCAGCTTGGGTTATTTTAGGGTTTTTTTTACTGTAAGTTCAGCTAGTTTGTGACTCAAATCTCAGGTTTTACTATATTGAAAAGTGGAGAAGATTTTGTCATTGATTTGTTTTGTGGCTAGGATGTGACTTTAATTTCCTACAGTGGACTGTTGAAAATAGCACTGAAAGCTACAGCATTGATTAACTTGATCCTAAAAAGTGCAAAAGGCCCAGTGAGAGCACCAGGAGGCTCTGTTTGGGCTGTGTGTACGAGATGTTGGAAGAAGAGGTAGCCCAGGCAAGGGACAGGTTGACATCACACACATCAGGTGTTCATTAAACATACTGGCACTTGTCTCTGTTTACATATCAGGTGAAAGCAATTACATTACAACTATTTTCAGCATATATATATATATATATACACATACTCTGTGTGTATATACCTATGTAAACAGTTTAACAGTGCTTCCTCCAGGAAAAGCCCATGTCTGTGATTTAAACCAGTTAATGGGGGTTAACACATGTCAATCCCTGAAGACAGAAACAGATTCGTCCTATCTTTTGTGCTCCTTCAGACGTGTGTGTTCCCCCCTTCTCTATGTTTGGGTTTTGGGTCTTCTCCTATGTTTGGGGTTTGTTTGCTTGATTGCCTTCTGAGGAACTGAAATGTGGTCTTGTGGCTCCTTGTGATTTCCAGTGCACTCTAGTCCCTGAATGAATCAAAGCTGTAGGCTTGGTATTTTTAGGGGATAAGTCCTCATAGGAGGAAGCCTTAACCCCATGTCCCGCACAGGGTGGTGCCCTGGCTCCTATCTGAACTAGAGTCCTGTCCCTGAACAATACTGGAAATGGTTTGTAGAAGTCTGGAAAGCAAAGTGGAGGATGTGAGAGAGGAAACATGTACATGTTCAATATGAATATAATGTATGGCCGTTGGTGTATGGCATACTTGGCATATTTGGTTTATGGCAAGCCATTCAAATGGTTCAGAGGGATGTGAGTTTCTCATCTTGTTGTGTCATGAGAATTACCTGTATGTATGATGAAATAAAATCAGAAATGGTACCTGTTTATATGGAATGGCTGAGGAAGGAGTTGTGGAGTGTGCATTACCTGCCTGCAGTACAACCTGCCCCCGAGCAGGTTATCCTTTGTCATACAAACCCTTCTCTGCAGCTGTGCCTGCTCATGGCTTGAGCAGCTTTGCACCACTTGTCGCAAGCAGCCGTGATTTTACAGCACCAGTAACCATTTAGGCCTCTTACCTGTCCCTGAATACCCCACCTCTTCTGCTCCCTTGAAGGGCAACAGTGGCACTTCTCTGCATTTAACACGTTAACAATGTCTAATACTGCTGTGAGTAACCTGTTCTTGTTCAAGCAAGTATTTCAAATGGATTAAGTTACCTAGAATGATCCCCCTGGGTTGTTTTTTTTTTTGCCTCCCATACTTCTTATTTGAAGATTAATGTAATTACTTGTTTAAATACTTGTTTTGACTGATTCTGTCAGTCTTGAAGCAGGCAGAGCAAGTTCTGCTTGCTGAGATTGGAGTATGCCCCTCATTGCTGCTTCAGAGAATCGCTCATACAAACTACAGTGTTTGTGTAACAGCATCTTCAAACTCAGATGCAGTAGCAGAAGCTTTTTCTTTTCCTAAAAAGAGAATTTCAAAGCATCATCCCAGAGAGGGACATGCAGAACTCTTAGCCTCCCTAAAAGAAACCAAACCATCAGCCAGAGTGCAAGTAACAACCTCTGTGAGTTTCTGTGCTTATCTTCTACAAAGAAGATGTAGCAACTCTTACACAGAAACCTGCATCAGATGGAGCCCATCCATCACCACCCCAGACCTGCCCTGGCTTTGGGGACTGCTGGGTGAGCAGTTCTCCATCACAGAATCACAGAATATTGAGTTGGAAGGGAACCCACAAGGATCATCAAGTCCAACTCGTAAGTGAATGGCCCATACAGGGATCAAACCCACAACTTTGGCATTATTAGCACCATGTTCTAACCAATGGAGCTAATCCCAGGGTTCCTGTGGATCAAGGCTGACCCGTGAAGGCTCACCTATTGAAGAAGTTAAAACCTAACTGTGGCAGCTAAAAGCAAGCCAACAGCCCCCACAGAAGGATCACAGACCAGCTGAAAGAGGCTAAACTTGCGCTAAAAGCAGAGTCTGACCCATTCAGTGAAGTGCAAGGAACTGGGAGGAGGAGATGAGCAGCCGGCAGGCAAGAGGCCAGCCTGGAAGTCAGCCTGTCCAAGGATGCCCAGCTCCAGCTCCTTCTGTGATCTGTCAGGACATGGTCTCTATTTGACAGGGAGATATGTGTGGGAGGAAAGAATAAAAGAAACGGGATATACTCTGCTGCTCATGTTTAATCTTCACACTCAGGCCTGGGAAAGCCACTGGGTGCACACAAGGTGCAAGTGCCCTAACAAAACAATGGTCTCACATTGCCAGGAGTGCTTTGCACAGGGAAACTGCAGTCTTACACAAGTCTTGAGTCCTTGATCCCAGATCCTCATCACCTCCACGAGGTTGCCAGCACAGAAAAAAGGTAGGCAGCCAGCTGAACTACAGTCCCATCCCACTGCTGGTGAGTCCCAAGCATTGCTGCTCACATCATGTATTTAGACTGGACATCAGTGCCAACCAGAATTGGGGTGGTATTGGAAGAAAACCCAACGTTTATTTTCACTCTGGGGTACGTTTCCTTACCCCAGGGCAGGTGAAACCAGCCACGTCCACAGCACGAAGGTGGGTTCTGGGTACAAAGCAAAGCTCAGCACTGTCCACAGGTGCACTGAAAATGAAGAACAAGCAAGGCAATTGGAGAAACAAAACACTTGGGAAAGAGCCACACCAAACGTTTTACTGCTGGAGCTGTGGAACATGTAAGCATGTAGGGAGCTGAACAGACAGCAAATGTGCAAACAGGATAAACACCCATAAACCATGGAGCGTTCAGCCACAACGCTGGGAATCAAAATACACCCTGGCAGCTTGGGAACAGCAGGGACATTGCAGTGGTACCTCAGGAAACCACTGGCACACAGTCAGAGAGAGGGGCTGGCTCATACAGGCTTGAGAAAACATGTATTTCTACACTTTCTGTGTAAAAGCTTAGAGGAGGGATAAACACACTTTAAATATTTCAGTATACTTAATTTAAAATACATTTACTTAAAAAAAAACCCTGAAAAGTCTTTTCTGTCCCCTTCACCAGATCTTCACAGAAGTTGCCCTGCAGATAGGTTGGCACTTTAGCACCCTGTCAGTGCATTCAGTTACAAAAACAGAGAGAACAAAGCAAACCTCCTCTGCACAGGTAGCACACTGACCAGCGTGGGATGCAACAAACACCAGTGGCAGCACAAGGGGAGAGTTGCAACAGCAGTCAGGGGAAGGACCAAAGCAGTTCAGGCCAGCAGGGAACCACAGACTCAGAGACTCGCTCTCCTCCCCAGCTTTTCAGAAGATTGCATATCAAGAAGCTTGCCTTGTACCCCAAACCACACACCACTTCAGAAAGCAGAAAAGGGCAGAAATGTCTGGTTTCAGTGGAGCACACCAGATTATTCTCTGTTCATAGCACTAAATTTGTGGTAGAAGTAACAGCTGGTACATTCGTGACAGATACCTGAGGCCTCCTCCAAGAGCATTTGGCTTGGAAGAGGAAATTCATAAGCAGAAAGGTAATTTCAGTCACATCTCAAATCTCCTGCTAAGCAGCATGGGAGTGAAGCAACAGTCTCACCCTGAGCATCACCTGCACCTGAAGCTGAAAGGAGGGTGTAGAGCAAAGCCAACAAGGAGCAGCCAAGCAACAAACAGCAGCTCAAGAAGATGTGGCATGAGGCGTCTTCCCCTCAGCAAGAGGGCCAAAGACTTACAGTTAATGAAGGCCATGACCATGTTTTAAATAAAGCTGTAAACCATTGCTTGAGAACAGTTAGAGGGTACCCATACAAGTGACTATCCTGTGGAACGGAGGTGATGACGGATGAGCTTTGGAAGAGGTTCCCCTTCACGTTTCAGCTCTGATTTCTTTCTAGTTAAGCTAGTAGGTCTTTCACAATCTGCCCTTGCTGTATGGAGAGCTCTACCTGTGAGGCCCAGCAGCACAGCCAGTGTTCCTAGGAACAAGCATTTTCTCCCATTCTCAGCCCAATGCCCAGGTGTCTTCTAGCAAATGAGGAAGGAACTGATTTGAAGCCCTCGGTCCTGCAGCCTTCAGATGGGAACACTTTTCATTTGCCCTCATTAGCCCTGCATGGAGCAGTGCCTTGATCTGATACTTAATGTCTAGAAACATTACAGGAGAGAGCATCTCACAGGAGAGAACATCTCAAGGGCCCTGCCTTGAGATCCAGTATCAGGATCTTCCCACTAGCACAGGCTTCCAGCACACCAGGGTGTGGGATATTAATGATCCTGTCTGGCAGACAGCTGAATGTTGCACATTTTAAACATCCAGACAGCATCATTTGGACAAACAGGACAAAAATGACTGCAGCTGCTATTTAAAACAGCTCAATATTCTTGTGTGTCTGATGGCAGAAGGCAGAGACACATTCCATGATGGACAATGATGACCTGCCTGGGCATGGCCGTGACAAGCAGGTTCTCATGAGTTAAGTCTCACACTGTAAGCTTTTAACCAAGTGTAAAATAGGGCAGGAAGCTTGAACAAGGATGTTGTATCCCGTGCAACACACAGCATATGCCTACGTACACGTTACTGTGTAAAACCTGTGGGGTGGGAGCAGCAGGCAAGGAGGCCCACTCTGCTGCCTTTGCTAAAAAAAATCTCCTGCTGAGTTCCTTGGCCTCTCTGAAGCAGTCAGTTGCTCTTCCCAGGGCATCATTCCAGGGGGCTTCATTTCTACAGGACTCTGCTTTCAGACAGTGTTCAGCAGGCCCTGGGGTCCAACCACCACTGTGGTTCAGATGCACAATCAGTTTGCTGCAGTCTGCATCACAAAAATTCACTCTACACTACACGGCCTTTGGGAATGCAACAAGAGAACAGCCTGTTGCTTCTTGCCACCAGGCAATAATTAATATCATCAAAAACCTACTGCATTCTTATTTCCAAATGCTCAGAGACAACCTTTTGCTGATTAAATACTCTAAAGTACCGAGACGTATCAAAGCAAGTTGCCTTTGGCAAGTCACCTTGCCTTGTGCTGTACTGGGGGCTGGTTTGTCCCTGACTCTCAAAGAGGGCTGTCCTCACCACTGCAGCTGCACTCCTGACATACAACCAACCTTGGGGTTCATGGGCACTTCAGCCTCCTCACCAGCAACAGCATCCTGGGTCCAACAAAACACACAAACCTACCCTTGCCCAGAAAATCAAGGTTACATTCTCTTTCTGCTGCAACAAGAGCTGCCATGCACTGGCGATGCAGGCTGTTGAACCCTATTTCTAGATCTGTAAATATTTTTACAGCAGCACGTAAAATATCCCTGTTTTACACAGGGAGAAACCAAAGCTCGGAGAGGTGCTGCAAACTGCCAGCAACAGACTTGGCAACTACCCTGTCTCCTGTGGGTCAGCCCAGCAGCTGGGCAGCATGGATATGCTGCCTGCCTTCCAGCAGTGCCCTTGGCTTCCCTGGGAGAAGGCAAGAACACCCTGTTGCCTTTGGAGCAGGTGGCTGAGAGCAGTCCCCGAAAGGCCACGTGGTTTCAGTCATGAAACAACGTGCTTAGGCCAGCTCTCAGCACAGGGGCAGCTAAGCCAGTGCAAAGACCCAAAGGACTTCTTGTGTCTCTCCACTCCATACACCAGAGGGGTAAAGAAGCAAGTGCACCTCCCTGGTAGAAAAGACAGCACCAAGATAACTGGAGTGTCCCAATAAAAAAGACACCTCGTGTCCAACTTTGGGATGGAAAGTGAGCAGGTTGGTACCAGTGCCTGTCAGAAGAACAGGAAATGCCACCAGCTGGGGCATGGGGACATTGCCAGGGCAAGGGGGAGAGGGACACTAAAGCTTGCTTAACATTAACAGACATACATATCTAGAACAGTTATTCCTTTACAGGCTCATAAATTAGTGAGCCCATAGAAACAGGAGCCTCAAGGACATGCCAAACCCCTGCAATGCAAACCATGTTAATTATGATAATAGGCAGATTTTAATAAGCCAGTTCCTGGCTCTCACACTTTCACCTATAAAACACACACATTTCCAAGGCCAGGGGATGCCAGAAATACCTTCCAGTCATCTGATCGTCTGAACCCCAGTGGCACAAAAATCACGTTAGAAGGTTCGTCACACCCTGTATCCCTTTGAATTTTTTTAGTAAAAAAACAAAAATTCAGATGAAAGAAAATTCCTCCTCTGTAAACCCCAACAGCAATGAAACAAATGTCTCTGCACAGGCGGCGGTAGTGCTAAGGGAGACAGGAGGGCAGGAGGAGGGAGATGAGAGAAATGTAAATCATCTTCTCCAGACGACAGGACAGGGGAGCTCCTGGATTCCTGGCCGTGCAGTTCTGGCAGCCGATGCCGTTCTCGCTCCGACGCCCTGGCAGAGTCAGGCAGCGCTGCCGTCCGCTTCAAACATCTGCCAGTCCAGCCTGTTGGAAGCGTGTCTGTGCTGAACGCCGGAGCGTGGAAGGTGAGGAGGGGCAGCCTGCCGGGTCAGCTAGGACTTGAGCTCCCGGTCAGGTTTCATGCTGAAGGGCTCCAGCCTCTCTCCCTCGGGGAGCATGCTGTTCAGCCGCTCCATCAGCGGCACCGTCTGGTCGATGCCCATCTGGATACGGCGAAGGATGGCAGACATCTCGTTCACCTTCTGGATCTGCTCCGCGTACTTGGCATACTTCTTCTGGCGCTCCTGCATGAAGCTGTAAAGAGTTTCCACAGAGAGGTCCATCTGTTTAAAAACAACAAGTAGAGCGAGGCACATTAGGCCAACTGTTGGCAGAGACGTTCCAGCACTCTGTCTTTCCTGAAAGCAACCAAGAACCACCTTAGATGCCCCACTGGAGATACCAGACAGGTACAAAAGAGCTGCTCGGGAGGTACGTAACCAGTTTGTCACTAAATGGGGTTCATAGTTGTACACCAGGGGGGACATATGACAACCTCAGTTCTACACCCATCACCCATACACCTAATCAGAAGATTCTTTATTTGCAGGACTGAAAGCCAACAGGCACTGCCAGGGATTTCCCAATAAACCAATATACATATCCTCCAAGTTACACAAACTCAGGGAACTCGTGGCCTCTGCCTACACCTGCAGTATATTTTCACTGGAGATTGTTCATTTGCAAGCATTAAGCTCTGCCATACTTGCCAGTGCTGATTTTCCTTGGTTTAGCCAGGTTACTCTGCAACTAAGCCACAGCTGTTACTACCACTGTCATCTGGAAAACTCCTGCCTTGAGAACCACAATGGATTGCTACTGTCCCTAATTTCCCTGAAACCCAAAAATAAGGAGTGTTATGAGTGACCCCCAGAGAGACATTAAGTAAATTAGCCATGCAATTAAACACAGTCAGTACCCAAACATGGCTCAAGCATGATGACAATGACAGGAACTGCTGTGCTGTTCCTGCCACTGAGTGATGAAGGCAGCCTCTATAATTCTCAGTCCAATCTTCTCTTCAGCCAGACCTGCAAACCCCGGGCAGAATTCAGTCAGTAGCTTCCGAGTCAGATGGTTGAAGCTGTTTTACACACTGTAAGACACACCACATATTCAAAGTTTGGTAACAGGTCTGCTCTGAGCCCTCAAGCTCACACTTGAAGCTCGATTGCCTTGTCTCACTGTAGCTGCACTCAACAATCCCAGTCATTCCAGTGCACAGGCTCTTCAGACTATGGAGACATTTTGTGGAAAGCAGTCCCTCACTTGGGACACAGTACATGCCCACAGGGGCTGCTGAGTGAAGGACAGACACACAGTGACCAGTTTTAACCCACTGCCACCTCTTACCACTGTTTTTCCAAATCTCTCCCATCTAATCACTCCCAGAGGAAGGAGGTCACTGCTCATGATGAAGCAGCCTCAGGGAATTGGTGCTGAGAACTCCTGGTCTACTGAGAAGCACAGGTTGAAACCACATCCCTCACACTTTAACTGTGTGACAGAGTCAACCCATTTGGTGGAGAACAGTGACTGTACCTGTCACCAGGGACAACACAAATTTATCAGTGCAGTGCTAAAAAACACATCGTGCTGACCCAATCTGACTTACACAGTTCTCTAATCAGCAAGTGTAATCCTGACCCAGCATCCAGTGGTGCAGGTTTGTAGGGAAAAGCCTTCAGCAAGGGGAGGAGTGGGTGGAAATGGTGCAAAGCTGGAAGGTGCATCCCTCACTGAGGACGGAGGGAGCACTGCTGTCCCACTGGCAGCAGCAGGGTTTGTAGCTGGGGGAACAACTGGTGTAGCTATATCTGCTGACAAACAGCCCTTTCAAGCCCTGGGGAAGAGGTCAAGTCAGAAATAGTCAGGCAAGAAAATACTGAAAATCTAAGTTACCTTAGGTTTTTTTGCAACTTAACTTACTTACAAACAGCATTTAAAACAAACACACAAGTTTCCACTGAACTTGTCATGGGGATTAGGGCACATTTTTTCCTCTATCACCTCCATCAGAGCTGGATACTCTTTAATTTCTACTGCTTTCAGGCTGAATTCTTCCTCTTTGCCTCTGTGCCTTCCTGTGAATTCCTCCCTCCACACTTTCACGCATGGGATAAAATAAAACCAGCAGAGCAGGAAACTCCAAATAGAGTGGAAACAATTTAAGCCTACACAGGGGTTTCTATTAAAACCCCAGCTTGATAATTTAGTAGCTCGGCGCTAGCTCTGTAAATTGGAGTGTGTAAAAAGCAGACCACCACCAACCAGTAAGTTCAATCCAGCGCCTAAAAACATCCTACCTAATGAGACAGTGGCCTGGAGTGGCAGCCACTCAGAAACCTGCCAACAGCCAGCATGCCTCATTAAACTGAGCAGTGTGGGGACCCAGGCAGAAACCTCCTCTAGTTCTGAACTTCTCATCCACAGGCAGGTTCTCCATGCGGCCTCACAGCACTGCATAAGAGGCAAGGCTTGCACCTACCAAGCTTTCCAACAAAAAACACCAAAGGCCCCCTTTTTCCTCCATTCCAATAACTTCCATCTGCTGACTTTTTAGGCTCCTTGTGTAAATATGTGTAACGTCCACTCACGGGCGAGGAACGCAGGAAGAAGCTGGAGCTGACCTGCAGTAGGAAAAAGAAATGTGGAGTGGCTTCCAAGCTCTTTGCTACCTTGGGACACGTTCACAATGGCCATAAAAAAAAGCTGCCTCACACAGAAGGAGAAAGGGTGGAAGTGAGTGTTTCCTACAGTTTCCCTACACCTGGCACTCAGGTTTGCCTGCTGTGGGAGCCACGACAGCGACACAACGGGGAGGACTGAGGCTGAGTAATTGTGAGGAAAGGTCAATTTTTACTCAGACTAAGCCTGGTATTTTTAACTATTAAAAAAAAAAGGCAACTACATGTTAATTCCCGTAGATAAATGCCAATGCCTCTTTGCAGCTTTCCTTGAAGCAGGCCTAAGTACACACATCCTTCCTGCCTCCTCCCCCCTCCAAGCAAGCTCCTCTAATCCCAGTCCTCGTGCTTTTACCTTTCCTGGCATGCAGTCCCATTCCTCTCACACTCGGACAGGTCCTTCATACTCTGAGGGTCAGCCCTATTTACCCACCACAGAGACTAAAACTAGCCTTTGGTAATCCATAATGAGCAGGGAACATGCATAAGAATCCACTTAATTCCAATCTATTTAATTTCATACAGTACCAATAAAAGCATCTGGAGAAGAGGAGCTGAGGTGGAGTCTGCTCTCCTGCCTACAGCCAAGGGAGTCCATGCTTTTCAAGAGGGTCAGTGAGTGAATCTGCCTTCTCTGAACAGCTCCCATCAACTCCCACCTCCCTGACATGAAGCCCTGCCAAATTCTCCTCTGTAAAACGTTCGAGTCTCAGCCTTCTTGCCCATCCCTATCTGTGAAGCTCTCTGTGAAGGCCCAGCAAGACACTCCAGAGCCAGCTGCTCTTCCAGTATCCTGCAATCATCTGAGAGTGTTTATTTGAGCCATTGTTTCTGCTCTGCTTGCTTCCAGCCCCCTATACAGCAGGCCACCAAGTTGCAGATAACTTCCCATCAGCTGGCCACTACCCTGAACCCAGAAGACATGAGAGATGTGAAGCAGCACTGTCACCAGCCCCTTGACAACCTCACCATCAAGGCTTCATCATCACCCATCTGTCCTTCAAACACATTCACTGAGTAAGCTACAGTCATCCCCAACTGAGAGGTACAGAAGAGTTTAGAGAGTTTAAAGACTGGACCTGAAGCCTGTAAAGAAGCAACAGAAGAAAGCAGAGGGCAGAGCCCAGCATGTGAGGTCAGAGTCTTAATTCTCATCAAAACAAGAAGTTCTGCCCAATCTGGACTTGAGAGAAAAAGATGGGTTCTCAGTGAAAGGGTGAGAGCTCCTAAAGCATATTTTATTTCTTTCCAAAAATCATTCCTCCTGTTAAAGCAACAAAACTGAAGCTGGACATGCCCAGAGTAGAATACAGGATTTTTCTTCCCTTCCTACGTTGGAAAGCATGTTTCTTCGTGTTTTTCTTTCAGAAGTACAGTATATATAGTGTATATATATACTTCTATAGTATATATAGATATACTATATATATATATACATACACTATAGTATATATATACTTCTTTCAGAAGTATATAAAAATGAACAAGCCTAAAACTCACCTTCCAGCATGACATAACTTTTTAGTACAGCCAGTGACATTCACAATTTGTGCCTTTTTCTGTTTCAAAGCTCGTGCCTCTTCTGTGGCTCAGCAGCAGCGGGACACTAATTTATGCCACATTTTAAACATGAAATGACATCTACAGGGCTTTTCTTTCCTCAAATAAAAACAGATTAATAATTACTTCCAACAACAGGGCAAGATGGATATTTCCCCACTTAAATGGGCCCCAGCACAGCCTCTCCTGCTACACCATTCACATTGTCAACCCATAAGAGTCTCCTCTGCATTACACAGGCCCATTTGTAACACCACACTGGTGAAACACAAAAACAACTGAGGATACTGTCAGACATCTTGCACACCATAAATTCTTGCATTCATTTAAAAATTTTTCTTGGCCCACACTGCCAAGCAGAATAAAGACATTAATTTAGCCCACAAAAAGATTGAGGTCAGCACTGGCCACTGCCCAATTCTTTTCAAGAGACCACACTGAAAGCAAACCAGTGCCCATATATATACATCTCTTACCTGGCATGGGTTTATAACACCTCTGTCATGGGCATATGAGTGCCCTGAGGTCTTGGAAACAGTGGTCACATCTTGTTAGTTCAATGACTGAGAACGAAAATTGCAGCTAGACACATTTTCCCTGGGTGCAGAATATGGCTGCAGAAGTTCATTAAACTTGGAATTAAATTTCTAGAGAGGGACTGCTGACATACGTAACAAACCAAGTACATCTGAGGATGCTTGGACATTCCCAGCTTCTCCACTCCCTCCTAAAATGCCAATAAGGCAAGATGATGGTTTTTTTCCCCCCCACACTCAGTAACAGCCTTCAAGAGCTCAAGCAGACATCCATTTGTCCTGTGTCCTTCTGTCCTAACAATTTGCTCTCATCTCCCATTCCCTGTGGCTGCTGTTCAAAAATACACAGCTATTAGGGTGCAACCCTCATTCCAGAAAGTTCATTTGCTAGAACAGCACTTGGAGCACAAGCAGCCTTTCCTTCACATTGACTGGGGTTAAATGAACTCCTTCCTGCAGCTGCACAAAACCCACATCACAAAGTGACAGGCGGGAACACGACTGCATGGAATATTAGTAATGATGTGTTGGTGTGAAAATACTTTTCAATCAACACACTCAAAACTGAAGACAGCTCCTCTTTCTGTACTGCCTGAAAACAAATGTGTTAAATGAATGGCTTTTTTTTTTTCCCTTCCCCTCTCTCTTTGATAATGTCACGCAAAGTCAGCACAATAGATCATGATGACTTCCTGATGATGGGAACATCTTCTGTTTCTCCCACTCACCACGTACAGTGAGTGATAAACTGACTGGGTAGCATCTCTTCCAGTGTGTAGAAAACACAGACAAACCCAGTCAAGGATCCCACTCTTCAGCTTCAGTCATGAGTACAGCTCCCGTGAGTACCCTTCTTCTGTGCCACTGCCACACAAACAATTATAATTTGTAGTGCTTATCACATCTAAGATTGAATCCCATGCCAAAATATTCCTTTCGCTCCCTCTGTAATTTGTCATTGCTGTAAACAAATGCTAAGGATTATTCTGTCTAAGCATTGCATGGATCACAGTCAGGTTAGAGAACGAAGAGTAACCATTTTAGCTGGCTCTAGCACTGAGTTTTAGCAATATTAATAGGTGTATCAATGGCCTTACTCCAAAAGATCTACAGTTAAACCCATGCCTGGTCCCTTAATACTATACATGATAGCATGAGATAGGCTACTACACCTGTAAGATCGAGATTTAATTATTTTGGAAGGCCTTGGGACACACAAAAGCGTTCAGAATTCCAAAGAACAAGAAGGTTCATTCTTGAAATTAGCTTTTCCATCTTTATGTAGATCTTTTCCTGCCTGTTGTGTTTTTGGACAGGATGTGTTTGTCACTACCACGCAGTCTGACCTCCACAGCCCACGTCTCCCTCACAGCTCCGACTCAAGCTACCAGCATCCCTCTGCCAACTGGCAGTCCCCCAAGCTTAAGTTATGACTGCTATCACTAACTGTTGCTAAAAAAAAAAAGAGTCCTAAAGCTACTATTAAAACAATACCTACCTCTTGAACCAGTAGACTTCCAAGTGTTTAAAAAGCAGGGCCCCACTTCACATAGAAGATGGGCGGCAAAACCTGACAGCCAGCAGCCATCTGAAATCTGGTGCTGCAGATGCTCCAGTTTGGATACATGTCACATTACAGTCCCGTTCTATTGCCCTTTCTTTACTTGTATTTCCCTCAACACCACATATATTCATCATCTTTGCCTCTCAAAACAGCTAAACCATTAACAGAGGCAGGTGAGACTCAGGGCACTGCAAAGCAGCAGTCACACCCTTCTCCTTCAAATGAGCTGAAGTAATCACAAGCTTAGTTCTGCACATAAGTTGCTGGGGGAGAACAAAAACAAATTCAGTCTTCCCAGCCTCCCCCTTCTTCAGTGGTTTGGTCTTCTGCCCCATCAGCTTGCTTGACTGACCTACCAGCAGGATCATGAGAGAAAATGCACCTTCTTTCCCCTTGCATGTGTTCCTGGATTCTAACTCAGTGTTTGCTGTGGCTGTATCAGAGTTAACTGCACAAGACTCTTGAAAAAACAGAAGGGAAAAAAAAGAGTAAGCTTTCTAAACTGTCACCAAGGAAAGGTTACAGTATTTTCTAGCTCATTGTCTTTGACTAGTAAGAACACTTTTTTAGAGCTTTCAACACTGCTTTCCTAGAACAACCTACATCCATCTAAGAAGCCATCTCTAAAATTTGTCACAACTAAAAATGTTAAGTTATATTCAAAGCATTAGAAATGCTTCCATACCTATTCTAAATAACAAAGTTTAAGAAAAACAAATAAAAAACTCCACCCAAAGAATATGTAAGATTATTGAACCTGTGTGTGCAATGTTCTCACAAAACCTCTCTTTTGTGGAATACAATTCCACAGAAATTAATAAGAAACTCCTGGTCTGTCTTCAATCAGCTGTTCCTGGAAAAGAAAAAATACATATCTGTTACAGATCTGCTGCCTAAATGATAACTTGCACAACTCTTATTTCAGGCTACCTAATAATTCTGCTACAAAACACAACCTTCAATTTCCTCATTTCCTGATTTTACCCTGCTGATATATTACTTGTTCAGAACATTCCTATATCCAGCCAGAGCTTGAATATTATAGGACAACAGCAGTTATAAATGTTCTTTACACTTAGGATTTTATTTTATCATAAATTTCAGGTTTGTACTTTTAATACATCAAAATGACTAGCTTTAAGCAAGTTGGTTTTCCAATGACAAATAAGCTTCGATTTGAAAAGAGATGATCACTGTCATTAATGAGATGTTTCTCACAAAGCACTGCCATTCTCATTTCAGAGTGAAAATAGTCAGCATCATTACATTTGCAGGCCATCTGC